GGAGGGTGGCAGACAGATAGGCAAACAGTCCACGCCCCTTCGAGGGGTTGAAAACAAACAACCTTTGAAGGGGCGTAGACTGTTTGTCTTACACTGTCTGCCTCCCTCCTCCCCCCTAGCACTGCCCACGCCGGCACGCACGCCGGCACGCCGGCCGGCCGGCCGGCGGACTATGAAAGCAGCCAATGGTTTATGAGATATTCTCCAAGGCTCCCTCGTATACCATATGTAGCGCTGTCAATTCGAAAAAAGGCTAGTTAGGTCGTCATAAAGGTTCCGTGTACATCCTCGGACGAGTTTCGCCGACATTGCAGAGGCTGCACCGATCACAAGGGAATCCATGTAGGAAGTTCAAACAACTTGTTATGATCCACAGCGACGTGAAAGGAAGTTCTGTACAGTTCTGGCTCGATGTAGTCAGCTCTTAGGGCAACTGCAACAACTGAGTTTCTTCCGAATACCCCTTCCATCACAATCCGTCAGGGTAGGCTCTTCCAACCTCAATTTTCCTTACATTCGAGAAGCCATCTAAAAATCGGCGGATTTTCTCGCTTTCTTCATCACCAATGAACTATGTTCTACCCTACTTCCGCTTTTCGACTAAACAGGGTATCTCAAAAGTATCGTGAACTGTGCCTTCAAGGCCTGGAGCGCGCGCTGTGCACCCGGCGGCCAAAAGACTGACTGCAAGGTCGTTTCTAATCTCTTCGAGATTCTTCGAGTCAAAAATCACAGAGTATATCCCTTTAGAGACCTAGTCTGAAAGTGGTGCGCATTGGCAAGCAAGGAATTTGTGGCGATACGGTATGGTTTATGTAGGAAACGAATCACTACAAGCTATAAAAATCGTTGAAGGCCGTCAAATCGAGCACGAAGTTCTCTCGTGCACGGAAAAGCCGTGAATAATCCAAAAACCGTGTCGCTACAAAGCACGGGATGTGGGTACGTCTCCCCGATAATCGTGTCGCGTCTGCCGCATCTAGCTTCGCACAGTCGTGCTCTATGAAGAGAAAAGCCTAAATTTTCAGTGACTGCTACGAGAACCCTTTCACTTGCCGTGGGAAGGTAACGTCACCTCAAAACGTCGCGAAGTCCCATGCGTATGAAGCGTCATGCACCCGGAGCTCTGCTTCAAATCTCCACTGTAGTGATGGTTGGGTCGATGCCTTTGAAAAGGTTGATGTCAAAAATTTACCCTGGATTCATTTTCATACCTCTGTTCAAAAGGTCGTCTGACAGATTTGGAATGCACATTCGAAATCAGCGCCCGAAATGTGTCTAGCAATATGAGTCCCACTCCAAATGGTCCCTTCGACTTGGGACGCCCTTATAAGCCGCATTCCAAATTTTCTTGGCTTGCCAACTCAATAATATCACAGTTCAATCACAGCTGCCCTTCATGGCGATTTCGAGTTCCTGTCTTCCGCTCGATCTCGTCACGGTTATTTTGCGTTGTCTGTTGTTTATGCGCTATTAAAGTGTTCGTACACCCCTACCAAATTCAAGTTTCCGCCGAGACATCGAGACCCGCTCATCCTCTTGCATCTTCGATAACAGCGATAATCTTCCCACTTCTCCCATCGGGAAATGCTGTTGCGCTTGATCTCATTTATCACTTTCTTCACCGTGATACTCGCAAACGATTTTGGTCCACCATGTCTTCCAACAAGAATCAATTACAGGGTGCAGTATCCGTGTCTCGAAAGCGTCGATGAAGGTATTTCTTCAGCATTTTTTAGTTCAGCCCAGCATATCATTGTGCTGGCAAACCTTTTCTTACTAGTAAGCGCTGACTTTCTATTAATTTAGACGAAAGCAGTGACCAAGAAGCTCGACTAAAAGGTGAACCGTCTAAGTTTGCGCAGACTGGTGTCTACGATCGATTGTTCAAGTAAGTATTTTAAAGCAGATAACCCGAAAATCAGAAATTCTGTTGAATTTATGTACCCTCTCAGGAGACTGCAGCTGAAACGAGTAAATTATAAAATATAGTAAAACCTACTGATTCTGTGGCTACTGACGATGTTATTATATTCCTTATATACTACAAAGATGCTAAGTGCTGCTTTGACGGAATTCCCACAACCACTTAGTCTTCATAGTATATCGGCATGGAGATGTACAACTGGCGGCCAAGCTGACATCGGCAGGGTCCCGCTAATCTGAAATCTTCATAAGCTGCAGAACGCGGTGACCCAAATCACAAAGTGCAGGTTTTCGTTCCGTTCAGGACTGGACTTTTTACCATTATTCATCCCAGTAGTGATTATCAGATTGGAATTCTGGAGTTTTATGTCCTATATGCTTGTGAGGGTAAGCTTGAGTGGGGTGAAAGTACATATAATGATGTCATAAATGTCAAGTGAATTTCAAGATCCTTCCTACCTCATCGCAGCTCCCACTAAAGAATCTCTAATAAAGAGGACTTTCGAACTCATCGTGATTTTCAAGTGAAGCAACTATGCGCTTCATGAAAAGTAATCAACAACGTTGGATTCACTTCAGAAAGAATTTATCGGTTCGTCATAAAGCTTTATTAAGGTACATAACAAAAAGCTCCATAGAAGTCAGAGGGAGGCTCGTTGATGCACTAAACCAGAGACTCCATCTCCTTTCTGAGGTGTTTCATCAATACGGCCTTGCCTCACCTCGGTTCATCAAGTCGGTCTGGTAATCTGGTTAAAAATTCTCGTCTTTCTTGATGCTCCTCCTTGTCTCCACATTAGCTCTTGATCGGTCTGTTCCTTTCATGTAGAGTCATGGCCTGCCCAAACGAATCTAGACAGTCCTCTGGAGCTCTGGAGCTCTTCATTGTGGTCCACAGCAGGTGTGCCAAGTTGCAGTTTAGGAATCCAAAAACTGTTTCAGTAAAAAAAAATGAACTCACAATCATAAAGCAAATGCTTATGCTGCTAACGATCACTGAGAACTTATGCTCATTCCCTAGAATACATATACACCGAGGCATTCGAAAATATGAAAGCTGCTTAGGAGTCTGATCAGTACTTTTCAGAGTGGGAAACACAAGAGCTTGGCAAGGACCGACGTACATTTACGAGCCAACGTACGGTTACAATCCCAATCTTCCACAAAACGGACCATATATCTTTCGATACAGCAATTTCTTCAACAAGCCCTTGAAGTAGTCTGCTTGGTCTGTGCAAACAACTTGGATCGTGTTAATGCCATTATTGAATTTTTGGAATGAATAATTTTGCCATTATCGTACTGTGCTGGAATGATGGAGTAGGTACTGGATAGCGATAGATATAAAGGATACGGATAGTCTTCAGGTGCTCATCAATCTGTCTGAGGGTTGCACCCTTACATTCGCTTCCATTCAGAATCGTAATGGCGTATTGTATGCGTATGTGGCCAATACAATGACCTGCGGTGGCCAGCTGGTGTACAAGTCCGCGCTTTCATCCTCCCAGACGGTGCTGGTACCAATTAGCCAACCTCGGAGGGATGGAAGGGTTGGTTGCTGTTTTGCGGATAACGGTCCGGGATTTAAACTCGTGACCACGTGTTGTATTAGCGCTCCCCTGCAAACTCCGCCATGGAGAAGGTTGTCTTCTTCTTTTTCTCCCTTGCGTTAATTCCGCAAAGTCGCACGGTCCGCTGTTCTCGTCAGCCGTCTCCGCTTCGTCCTGTCTACGGCATCTTCTCCTCGTGGTCGGTTATCCTGAGCCTCGAACTCCATAGCCACCCTTGACTCCGTGGCCTTCTTAGTACATGGCCGAACCATCGCAGACGCTGCTCTTCCATCTTTGGTTGGACGGGGGCATTTGCATAACCGCCCTGACGCTTCTAATCCGAACCCGTCTCGTCCAACCGCTAGTCCACTTCAGCTCAGTGAAGGTGTCCTTCATGGTTTTTGCTTACGGACTACCACTCGCTACCGCAGAGCATCGTGAGCCCTGCCATTGTCCGATACACCTTCCCTTCGAGCGTCGTGGAGCACTGACGGTCGCAGAGGATAGCGGTGGACTCCCTCCACTTCATCCTTGCCGCGATTACTTGGGATTATACAGCCTGGTTCCCCCTACCATCAGCTTCTAGATCGCTCCCCAGGTATCGAAAAACCTCAACATTTTCATGGCTTCCCCGACGTCTACGATTGGCTCCGTGCAATCCTTGCACCTGAAGTGCTAGGTCTTCTTTACGTTGAGCCAGAGCCCGTTCTACACCAGTACTTTCCACCGTTTCTGCAGCTTGTCTTGAAATCCTTTGCTTTCTATTATCAAAGCGATGTCATCAGTGTAAAAGATGGTCTTCTGTGGTCCATGCATGAGTTCTTTTTGTTGATATCTATGTTAGCAGGAAGAGGAACGGGCAGTAATCATGTGCGGGGTTACTGCGGTTGATCCCCAAATATACTGCGCACACCAAAAATAAATATATCAGTTTTATCAAATAGTGCTCGAGTTAAATGGAGATCAGTCCAGTCGCTGACGTTGTTGGAGATCGGCTGGATAAAGGCATGTCAGTAGGCGGAAGGTGTCGGCCCAGAGTCGACAGACAGGACGGGCACGAACAGCGGGTGTGCGGCTTGATCGTGGGGCACAGATGCTGACGACTGTACTGAGTGCCTCACAGGAGGCAACGGCGGACCTTAAGTATGCGTGATGGGATGAGCCATCAATACCATAACATAACATTACTGAGCAATGAAAAGCTGAAAAGAAGCTGAAATGAAAAGCTATGTTGCAATGAAAAGGGCAGGCGGCTCCCTTGACCCACGCCCACGCTGTTGACCAGTTATCGACACATTCGCCCACACTAGCTGATTTACCGCAATGCTCACAACTCTCGCGACTCTTACAGGGCTCAGAGCTTATTTCTGGTACGCCCCAGCAGTGACATCTATTGCTCCCTATGGAATGCGTGTTGCAGACGTGGAGCCATCGTACAAGTCCTGGACCAGCGAGATCGTGTGTTCTGGAACATTTCGTTTTCGAGGCGCTCTGCAGAGGACTTGTGCTAAAACGAAAATTCAGTCCGGCACTCGGCTCCTACAGTAACCCCCTGGCTTGCCCAGAGCATCTTTCCGACGCGTCGTATATGTGACGGGTAAAAATTTACGTGTTAACGCGTGCCGGATTACTGTAAGAGCCGAGTGCCGGACTGAATTTTCGTGCCTGTAGGACTTGTCACGGGAGACAGACAAATGCCTTCTGCAGATCGAGAAAGGCTAGGTAGAGGGTCTACGTATTTCTCGATACTTATCCGTAACTTGCCTAGCTATGAAGATAGCATCCTCTGTAGACCTTTCAGACCTGGGTCAAACTGCTGCTGAGAGATCGGGACCAGTTCCCTCAATATTAAGCCGCTCATCCGCTCGTACAATTTCATCGTGTGAGCAGTCATACTGATCCCGCCACACGATGCCTTGTATCTTCTCTATAATTCACCTACCTTCAATCTCTGCGAAACTGGCCACAACAGTAGTTTAAGGTTTTTCAGGGCAATTAGTTTCAGAGACATTTGAAAGTAATAAGCGCAAGGCGTGTTTGTGCGCTCTATTACTAGCTACCAGCGCCATCGTCAATTTCGTAACATACCCTTTAACAGTGGATTCGAGGGGAACCAGGGATATTCAGCTTCTTTGTCTAGGTAGGTGCTGGGGTTTCGTTCGGTCATTTGCTTTTTACATGTTAAAGCAGCCTGTTCTATAAACTAAAATATTGGTCCCGGCATTAGATTATGAAATATGAAGTGATGTCACGTGCTATTCCAGTCACTTTATGGTTTAGAGGGTGTCCGCTCACATTTGCCCCCTTAAGCGTCATTGTGCAATGTCGCTGTCGAAATAAAACCTGTAATTACAAATTGCAGCTCTTTAATGGAAAGCAGAGGAGAGGGGTGGGGAAAATTATAACGAAACGAATACCGCCCAGAACAAGTTCTTTCATAGCGGTAATTTGATTTGGCTTTCGGCGAGAAATGGCTCCCATGCCTGATTTCCAGTATTCTTGAAATGTCGTTCCAAGCTTTGAATAGATTCGGGATTCCCGACGCATTCGGTTTGGATGGTCAGTTACACCATGAATTTATCGTATTCGTGATAATAAAACTTTGAATCGGGCAAATTCCGACGGGTGAACCATTCCAAAGGTTTAAGGAATCGAGGGATTTTGTGCAGCTTAACAACATTCCTTGATTTGCAGTGGAGGTCGATAACCGTGTTTATAGGTGATACCACTTTTGAAATCTTATTTTTGGTCGGTTCCGTGAGTTGGCGTTCGGCCATTTCATTTCAGTGTGTTTCGAAGCATATACAGCTGTGAACTGGGTCCTCAGGAATTGGTGTAAAAGAAGAGCCGCTTTTCTTATTGTGTCACCATTCTCTATATTTTTTAGGAATTCGAATTATGCTATTGTCATTCTGAGTTTTAACATTTCCCATCTTTCTTGATTTATTAGTGTTCGTTCACTTGCTCTAAATGCTAGCTCAGGAAATCAATTGACAAAGTTATACTTTTCAGCCCAATAAGAAGGTGATTGTATATTAATTGTATTTCTTTCTCAACTCTTGGTCATAACTTTTGTGCCTTGAATCGCCGTTAACAATTGCCATAATTTTCGTCTCGTTGTCTTTTTCGGCCACTTTATTGATTAAGGTAAATCCCGTGGCGGCGTTTTTCTCTGGAAAATGTCGGGCGGAGGATGGAACGTGAATGCGGCCGCTTTTGTGCCGAACCTGAACGCTAGACCTTTTGTGCCCGGTCAGCCCTATATCCCAGCCACAGAGACTGCATCCGTACCACTTCCAGCTGAGGCTCCTGTAGAAGGTTTGCTTCAATCAATGTTCATTCCTTTCTGAAACTTGATATCAACTGCAAGTGAAATGTCTTAATCGAACAATTTCGACCACATCGGTCTTACGTAGGTGGCCAAATGGAAATCCTGTTTGGAGCTTGTTCTAATTTCAGCCCTGCTGACTAGATATGACTAAATAACCATCTTTTTCCTTCGCTTTGACTATGGATGAAAAGCGGCAGGCGGAACTAGTTGATCTGTCGTCGATTATTCGATGTCCTACAGATTGCTAATTGATCTTTATTGTGATTTACCGCGTTTGAGGTACTCCATATCTGCTCTGCTTCGCGTCTTTTGGAAGTATTTTAACGTTCCACTCCTAGCACTTTCGAACGTTGAACATCTAGCTAAGGTCCTGCAGAAAAATCATTTGAACAAGGCAACCGGAAGGAACCGAAAAGCAGTCTTTGAAAAGGAATGCCAACTTAGCATGAGCCGCTAACCAATCAATGTTAATGCTACAATCATTTGTGTTACCAAAAGGGCGGAGCAGAGCTAGCGTGGTGGAGCGTTTCAGACTCTTTAAATCTTGGAATGAATAACTATTACTAACATGTGGTATATAGATCGACGCTGGTCGCAGTGCCGTAGTTCATTGCCTTCCGCTTTTTACCCATCGATTAGGGTGAATTATGAAGGTAACCGTTTCAAACAAAGTTTCAACCCCACAGCAAGGTAGGCTTCTAATTCGCCTGTTCGTTCGGCATATGAAGGGTACCTTCAACGTACAAACGGACGTGGAATTGTCACCTGCACTTCAATCATCGTGTTTGGTTCAAAATTTTACCTCAACCTTCCATTTCTACTTGTTTCATTTCATTAACTAGGTGCTCTTGATCATAGTAAGGCTAGGTTCAGATTGACTCTAGGTGTTGTTGAAGGCATTTCTTACCATTTTTCATTTTCAGAGAGCTCAATTTTTGTTTAAATGCCTGTCGATCTGATTTTAGATTGGGATGCTGAGATTGCTGATAGTCAAGCTGAAGCCGTCGAGCCAAGTGCACCTCCTGCCCCGGAACCTGTTCCCGGACACGATTCGAAGGTTCGCCGTTCCTTCATTTTTTAATTATTTTTTTCAAATATATCGTAAGGAAATTTATTGTGAAACTCATTTGTTATTTGAAAAAGCTCATATTCATGCTTCATTTGCTCTATGGATGTGTGAGGCGAGCAAGGAAGTAGTAGTTAGCAAGAGTACTTGGAGAAACAACAGTTGTTTAAACTTCCTCGATTGATTGAATAGAAAAATATGCCAGTTATCGAGTGTTAAGTTATTCTCGTCAGGTTATCGAAACTCCTTCGGAGAAGGCTGAGGAAGCAGGTGGAGGAGACGATAAGGACGCCTCAGAAGCGAGCGATGTGGTTGCTCCGTTGGCCAAGAAGTTTGAACGAGTTGCCTACGTCGACGGTCAGCCCAGATTCACTACTTCAAATATTTGTCATTTCGAAATATTTTTACAAGATGGCATTGTTTTAAGATGGAACTCACAAGGAACACGTTAACATGGTGTTTATCGGGCATGTTGATGCTGGGAAATCCACCATTGGAGGTACATTTTCTATGTTCGAATTTCTCACAACTAGTTAGATTCGGGTTTGAATTAGTGCTCTGCTTGCGGTTCTGTCAAGCACATTATCACGGAATATTAATTACACTGATTACGTGAAGTTTCCATTTGACGATCTTTCTGTTAAATCTTATCGATGAATACCATACCTCTGCCACATAGCATTGCAGTGGAACTCAATAAAATTCAGTGGGAAACACGTTAAGGAAAACGGTACACGTAGCAGCTGAACCATCTCATTCACCAGAATTGTAGTAGAATGTAACAGCGCCAACGTCAATTTTTTCTCGACTTAACAACGATTTATGAAGAACAGAAATTCGCTCTTTTGAAGGCAGAATTTTGAATCATCGTGTTTTGCATGTGAAGAGGAACTCCCAATAATCAAAACTACTGCTTCGAACGTAATCACGTTGAATTTTTACACCTGGACTACGTCTTAGCTGGCTTGTAACTTCCTTTAAAGACGCCGTCGAATTCTTTTTCCCTGAGCCAACTAAATCTACACACGGGGTTGTTTCATTTGACCTTTGGCCATTAACCTAACCTACGATATTTCGGTCTCTGTAACCCGCCAAAGGCTGGTAGTGTCTACCTTCCACAAATAAAACAGAATGGCAGACTAGAATTTTTTAGGACAGTTAATGTATCTCACTGGTATGGTTGATAAGCGAACGCTGGAAAAATATGAAAGAGAAGCGAAAGAAAAGGGTCGAGAAAGCTGGTGGGTTTCTGAATCTATTTATTTCTATCATCGAGATGTTTTGTCCTATGAGTTAATTGAAGTGTCATAATTTATTTCGTTTCCTTAATATAATCTGCTTAGGTACCTATCGTGGTGCATGGACACCAACGAAGAAGAACGCGAAAAAGGAAAAACTGTCGAGTGTGGACGAGCATATTTTGAGACAGAAAAGAAGCATTTTACAATTCTGGATGCACCTGGCCACAAAAGCTTCGTTCCAAATATGATTAGTGGAGCTACGCAGGCTGATCTTGCTGTTTTGGTAGGTCGCTCTATCATTTTCTCATTTAGGCATCGTATTGTTTCTTTGGGAGAATATGGCTCCCAATGATTCAGGTAGTTCAGGTAGCCTCACGTATGGTAAAAGAGATTCAAACATCTAGGTAATTTCTGCTCGAAAAGGAGAATTCGAAACCGGATTCGATCGTGGAGGTCAGACTAGAGAGCATGCTATGTTAGTGAAAACGGCTGGAGTGCGTCACCTAGTGATTCTTGTGAATAAAATGGACGATCCCACGGTGAAGTGGGACGAGAACCGGTAAGTATTCCTTCATGGTGCACTTTGTTTGGAACTCTGTTCAGCTGAAAAACCGATTTTTTTCGGAGAGGCAAAATATTTCCTGTTCAGCTTCGTTGAAATTCAAGGCAAGCTCACGCCATATCTTCGAAAATGCGGTTTTAACCCTAAAACGGACATGATATATATTCCTGTATCTGGCCTAACTGGTGCCTTCATAAAAGATCGACCTCCATGTGATCAGGGAGGATGGTATAGGTAAGAAAACGCTGCCGGGCATGATATTAGCATGTTCGTTAACAAAGCCAGAGTTTGTCCTTCAAATGAACATGCTTTGCAGCGGTCCATGTTTCATCGACTACATTGATAATCACCTAGTATCAATGGCTCGTGATTACAATGGACCAGTGCGGTGCATCGTTGTAGATAAATTTTCTGTAAGTCTGTTTTCACCTTGTGAGATGATTTGCTTCTATATGTTTTTCTGACTGTCTAGTACTTAGGACGTTTAAAATTCAAGCGTATCTCAGTTTTCTATTTTTATTATTCGTTCTGAGGTATTCCGGCGCACTTTTGAGAAATTCAAGTTGCCATGGCCCTGTTCCCATATACAATTTTTGTGTCTTAAAAGAATCAAGCACGGATCTTTGTATAGTATCTCTTGAAACCTGAACGCTACCGACCGCTTCTCTTGCATCGAGCGACCGTGTAGCAGATTGTTGAATAACAGTAGCATTCGCGAATATCATGGAAAGAGGTAGAAGTACGGAGGACTTAATATATTCTGTTCACTTTGCTGCGAGGTTAGGTCCAACTGGTAAACAGCGCTTCTTCGAATCCGTTTGACTGCTTGTATAGCTAGACGGAAAACCTGAGTTCCATTTCAGGACATGGGCACCCTCATCATTGGCAAAATGGAGTCTGGTGTAGTAGTCAAAGGTCAAAATCTGGTCCTAATGCCAAATAAAGTAAGGTTTTCCTTGTTTTTTTTTTCTTGAACGAACAGTCGACAATGGCTCAAATTAGCAAGCAGTTCAAGTCATTCAAATCTGGTCAGACGATATCGAAACAGATCGGGTTGTTTCCGGAGATAATGTGAAATTCAAACTCAAAGGTAGGTCTCCCTTGTCGTCTCGTTGATCATCGCTTTTCTCAAGTCAGTCGCTAGTCAATTGTTTAAATTGTTCTTTCTAGGTGTCGAAGAAAATGAGTTGCAGTCTGGTTTCATAATTTGCTCGGCAGATGCACTCTGCAAAGTTGGCCGCGTTTTTGACGCCGAGGTTTCTGTTCCGTTGCGTTTTTCCTTTTTCTGTTGTATCAACTTAAGGACCGAAGTATCACAGAGACTTTTGTGGTTGTGACTTTTGTGATGTTAACACGATTCCATTAAGGTGGTTATCTTGGAGCACAAGTCCATCATTGCCTCTGGTTACACATGCGTTCTTCACATTCAGTCAGCCGTTGAGGAAGTTACTGTAAAGGTAAGGGTTCACTTTTTCATTGCATTTCTGCTACCAATCACTTGGCATTACTATTTGTTTGTCAAAGGACTTTTGTGGGAATTGGGAAAGTCGTCTTTCCATGTACCTTTAGTATCGTATCTTCACACGTTTATGACACAATTTTTTTTGCACAGTTCTGCATTTTCATGTTCACAATCAGACCAGTATAGGCTAATCAAGTTCATGGTTACGCGTTGATCAAAATGCTTTCAGTAACTGAATTATTATTTTCTTGGTTTTTACTCAGGAAAACTTAATTAAGACGAAATGTGGGTAGTTGAGAAATGGACAAATTGTCTCTAATGGAGTGCCAGAGAATGATATGCTTCAGGTTGCAAGACTCTTGACTTGAAAGCTTTACCCAATCCAACGTTATTTAGATGGTCATCTGCACGATCGATAAAAAGACTGGCGAAAAGAAGAAATCTCGATTTGTACGACAGGATGAGAAATGTATAATGCGGATCGAAAGTTCAGAAGCTTTCTGCTTGGAGCCTTTCAAGGTTTGTAATACATTCTGCATTAATTGGTCGGTCAAAAATTATTCGCCGTTTTGAAAGCATTACTTTCAAGTTGTGAATCCAGAATTCCCGTCTAAAAACATTCAGAAAGTTATTTTGACATCCTCCATTTCTCTAGACTATTTCGTCTAAAATATGCTTGGTAGAGAGAAAAGTGGTAGAAATCTTGTTACTTCAAGTGCTTTTGAAATGTGCGGTGTAGCTTTATCGCTTTTTCTAGTTGTTCTAACTCTAATTGAGTTCGAAAAATGAAGAAGTTGTTGGTCACGTGGTGCTATTACTTTTGCATACGGATCATTAACAAAGTGGTCATTAACAATCTCATCTTTGTACTTGAGCAGCATTATTTCAAAAGCACAGGAAAGAAGGGCTTAAGATGGCAAAGCCTTTTGACCAACCCCATAGTGTACCTATGAGGTTTGACACTAAACATATTCATGTAAACGAACACTTTTGTGTTTTCTTCTTTTCTTTATTTCTCTTTTAGGAGTTACCTCAGCTGGGCCGTTTTACTCTTCGCGACGAAGGACGTACCATTGCAATTGGAAAGGTTTTGAAAGTCGTCGAATAATTTATATTGTTGTTCTATGTCATATTTGATTTTGAATCTATCACCCTCATCTTACCTTTCACATGATATTAGCCTTGAATTCAGTCTTGACCCTAGAAGCTTGGCCTTTCTCCTTGTTGTCAGGAGAGCTTCGGTGTCTAATTTCTTGTTCAAAGATAAATAATGTACGCTTGAAAGATTTCCCCAAATTTCTAAAGATTGCGGTCCTCATCGTTGTAGCCCTTTTAGAAATAATTCAGTGATCATCATTTGTTAATTGTTACTGCTTTGTGGGTGGTCACGGCTGGTGATGGGTGGTGATTCTATCTCGACTTCTGAATTCTGTTGCGCCGAGACAGGTTGCTGAGTAGCTTGTTATGCGCATCGTTTCACTGATGTGCATGTTTTTGTGACTCATGTTTCTGGGATTGGCTTGAATGGGTTGTGCACCCGAATGACTTTTTTCAAAGTATCGGTGACGTTCTTTTTCTTACAAATAAATTCTCTAAATAGATGTTGTTCAGTCTTCTGAAAAAGGTGTAATATCTATCACAGGAACTACAAGTGCGTTTCTAGAACCTTTGAGACCTTTTTTTCAACTATGAGGTGAAAGTAGTCACATTTCAGGTACGGCTTATTATAACAAATTTTACGTGGTACGTAATTCTATCAAACATTCTTCAGTAGAATTGGAGGTAGTGGCTGAAAAAAAACTGAACTTGCGTGCTTTGCAACTGTCATAGGTAATCAGAAAGGTTTTTCCAGTACATTCTCGCTGTCAAATTGCATCGGGCATTTGTGCGGATTCATTCCACACGTTGTAAATAATATTCATAGAAACTGAGCAGTTCCTGGTGATCTGTTAGATCTCTTATTCTTGGTCATTCAGCGATACTCTACCGTTCTATGATCAACCATGTGCATCAGCCAGCGTGCAAAAGTGATATCAGTTTACAAGCAGTTATACCACATGGGTAAAGAATATCCCAAGGGGAAGGAATGGTTTCACAGCAGACTGAAGGCGGCATTTCTGAAAAATAAGGTGGGTTAGCTTAGTAGCTTAGTAATTTGTTTGGTGATCATGTCTTCATTATACCTGCCTACCTTATGATTCTCCTCTGGGCTTCCGCCCCAACTTATAAGCGGAAAGACTTGAATTTCACCTTGTTTCCCCAAATTATTACATAAACCGAGTACAAAGAGGAAAGATCCAGAATAAAGTTAAATGTTCAGTTCATTCCAACAGGAGTGTTAATCTCCAGCAACCATTTCGTTTGCGCGTGCCGGCTCCAAAGTACAGTTGACGAAAAAAAAAATGGTTTTCGAAATTTGCAGCTAGGTTGAACTTGCGGCCTTCAACTACGTATATGGGACGCTGTCGGGTAAAATGTAGTGCGCAACAAGGGCACAAAGACCTGCTTCGTCAATGTCCACACCTTTAGGCGGACGAGTTGTAATGGCATTGTAAAGACTGCACTGATCGCTAGGGAAAACGATTAACCAAGATGGGTGTGAGAAGACTGGGTGATTAACCCTTTTGAAACACTTAAGGCAAAGGTGGTTCAGAATCTTTATTAAGAGCGAGATGAGAGCGAGATGAGAGCGTGGGCGGGCTGACCGATCCCAACGCTTGACAAAGCAAGTATATGTCGGTTAACGGAGCCAGTACGAGCCTGACCCCACTGCGCCCCGCCCCACTTGATAGCGGGGCGCAAGGCGCTTACGTAATGGGTCGTCAACGACGACAACGATATTGGAAGTTCAAACAACTAACTGTGACTCATAGTGATAGCAGAAGCAGTTCTGGTATTTTGAGTGAGTGTAGTCAGCTCCTTACGCAACTGTAACTACTGAAAGTTCCTCCAAATAACATTCTGTGCCGTTTCCGTTATGGTAATCTCTTACACCTCCTATTTTCATTACTTCTGAAGAGCTGCCAACTTCAGTACTCAACGGGTTTTCTTGCTTTCATTATAGTTGATGCGCTACCCATCAAAAACACTACCACCTTTTAATATAAAAAAGGGTATCAAAAATATCCAACTGTGCCTTCAAGTGACAAGAGCATGAGACCCAGTTTGGGAATATGAACTTTTCGAAAGTAATGATTTAGTTCGGAGAGTGGTCCTCAGTCTTGAGTTGAGATGCAGCTGGGTATTATTATAAACCGAATTGCAATGGGGTACTATGTGGAGCAGTAGTGGCAGTCAAGCTTACCCCTATGGTTTTCGTCCTTGGTCGCTGCCAGCAATCAAAAGAATAGCCCTAAAATTTTGGAATCCTAACGTGTCGGTAATCCTCAGAACACTCATTTAACCTGACTTTTTTCACGTTCCAGGATGAAAAAGACCCGAAGAAAATCGAGGAACTGGTGGCAAGAGCAGAATTTGTGGTGAAGGAAATCGAAGCGCTCTATTATCTTCGGAAATATCGTGCCATGAAAAATCGTTATTACGAGGAACGAAAATAGTAGAGGTTGAAGCAGAAGTGAATGTTTTGTTTGGGAATTGTAGCTTATGGAAGGAATGAGCCTCTAACGGAATAGAAAAGGAAAATATGTAACTTTCTGTGAATTTGCTGAGAATAACAAAGCATTTCAGTGAGGTGATGATAGAAAAAGGCTTCACGCAACTATGTACAAGGCAAACATGCTTGTTATAACTAATGATACTTTTAAAACCGCATGTCATTGCCGAACAGTACTGTGCTGAACTTACTATTTGTGGATAAAGTATTCGATTACTCAGCTTAAACTTTCGTAGTCATCGGTATGAATATCGCTACGGACTGTTGTTCAAGCACACATCGGGGTGAAGGTCTTTTGCACCAAGATTGAGCATTGATGGTGCGTGAATATATATATCTCTATCCACCTTGGAACGCTGATTCCAAATCTGTTTTCCTTACCGCTAAACTATTCTGGGAGTGGAGTTCCTCGTCTTCAAAGTCGCCACCATAGAACACTTTAACAGGCGGAACTAGAGCTCGGCATCGCGTGACTTTCGCCGCAACGAGTTTCGTTGTGGGACCCAACCACAAATCAAGGCTCAGGGTTGACGCGCAGCTGCTGCTGTGGAAGTCTGAAGCGACGTCGTGCTCTGACATGCATATCCACACACCGGGTTTATCACGGAAAGTCCAACACAGAAACGAAAATTCAGTACAGCACTCGGCTCGTACAGTAATGCAGCCCCATGCTGAAAAGCAAATTTTCGCCCGTCACACATACGACGCGTCGAAAAGGGGCCTTGGGCAAGGATACGGGCGTGGGCGGCGGGTAAGCTAGGGGGTTACCGTAGTAGCGAGTGCCCGTAATGAATTTCGTTTCTGTAAGTCCAACTCGTTAAGTAGCCGTAGGCACTGTGAAAGACATTCCCCTCGGAGAAGGTCCGTTGCGCGCGTCCGTTGAAAGTAGGTCACCCCGCCCACTACGCGCGCGGCGCGCCCCACTGAGAACTTGAGACATTACAGTACTACCAAGTGTCAGAGGAGCGAATGATTAGCATTTGTCCGTGTTATCTTCTCTTTGGCTGACTTTTGTGGACCAAGCGCAATTCGTATGCCCCGCTGACAGCTGCGACGTTTGTCAAGTAACGCGGGCTGGCCCGCCGCATGCGATGGCTGCGGCGTGACCTAGTTTCGATGGACACGCGCAACGAAGCGCACCCCACCCCATTCTCCCGCGTGCAGGTACATATGTGTGTCAATCTGCTCCCAGAATATGAACAAAACTGTTTCGGAACTTTCATACTTCACTTTCATATTGTTCCGAGTGAAGTCGAGGACGTAGCTTACTCTAGACACCCTAAAGCCATTCTAAACACTAACCTAACGGAGCAATCAGCTCCTTCAAGCATTAAAGCCTGCACCCCATGTGCAAGCAATTACTTGTGCGTTGGAACTCAAGTGCAATCTGAACCAATATTTAGAGTATCGGCTTATAGAGCTTAACGAGCTGAGATCAGTGGTGTCTTCAGTTCCTGAGACACTACTTTGAAGCGATTTATGGAGCAAAGACGAAAAATCGCGTGAATTTTCGAGCTCTTACAGCGAGTACTGTACTAAAAACCATTTCCATCAAAAGCGGTCGTATTCCAGAGGCCTAGCCTTCATGGTTCACTACTTGTCTTCACTCAGAAACAAAATCGAGTGCAATTTTGTATAGTCGTTGCTGGCAGGCACCTTACAATAGTGAGGAGTTTAAGAGAGCGAAACTTTCATGACTTCATGTTATATCGATAATATAAAATCAGCATTTCAGCAAGTCAACATTTGTTTTTTTCAGCAATTACTACTTTTTCCTATCTGCTTGGTTTTGAGTATTTTTCTAAAGATCATAGATTTATTGGCAGACGAATGAATACAACAAGGTATTAGAATTGTTATGCAGATCACCTACTGATACAAAACTTCCGCAATGAAGAGGCAATATGTAACGTTGTTGTATCAAAAAAGACTCCTACTAGATTGTGCTATGAGGGGCTGAAGTTAGTTAACCATTTTCAGCACTGCCAAAGGCTCCCATTCAACTTTTTGGAGGCTGCGCCGATGGAACCGCGAAGTGGATTGCGTTGTCAACCCACATACTATGAATACCCACTAACCTAGTCACTCAAGCAGTTCTCAACTTGCTTGGCACTTGTAGAAATCTTGATCAGACGCTCTTTTCCTGTCGAAGGTATAGTCTTGCACAATACTGGAAATCGGGGAGATTAAATGGGACCAGTACTTTTGGATATGCATTTCCTGGACTTTTTAAAATTCTCTGTCTTATATGAACTATTCATAATCAACGTTTCACATATCTTGACGATTTGATCATACGTCTCCTCATTGCTGATTGCGCGTTTAGGTACTTGTATCTTGAGGCGAAAAGTAGAAGCAGAAGAACCGTTTGTCGTGCAAGGATTCCATGCCTGTTTAGGTCTCAATCAATTAATTATCTCTATCTCTATCTCACGCACTTTGATGACCGTTTGATTTTCGTCTTCAGCTGGAAGAATTCATTTCGTTTGTTTGTTACTAACGCTATTCACGCAGTTCTCTCACTATTTTTGAAATCGAAATGTAAATTGAAATCAGTGACCAGAGACAAAACCTCGTGAAGGGTTGCTAAATTCGTAAACTCCTAGACACTCAACAAGGACACTTAAGACAGTTGTTAAAGAGCAAGTCCTTTTCCGACGGATCTTCCCATCGCCTTCCTGTTATGGTGGTCTCGCCTCCGCCGAATTTGGAAGTCTGTTCCGAAAGGGAGGCGGTAGTTCCTACCGTGAAGCAGTGGTAGTGCCGGCGGATAGTCTGCAATGAAGTGGCGTTCAGTAAAAAATAGCAGTGGTTCTGCAGAAGCGTAAGAAATCTCCTCTTTTTTATAAGTACAGGGACAGTACGAGGTAGGAAAACATCTCAACCTTCAGGAAATTCACTTAAACATGAATTTTGAGCAGAAGTACCTATTAGACCTCCAATGTGCTTCTTGCGGACAGGATGAATTAGTGACGGATCAGGAAGATGATCAGGCGGTTCAACTTCTCCTGAAATGACTGGAAAGAATTATCATAAACTGCTCTTCCTTTTCAATGAACCTCCCTAAAAGGGTGATATTTCCTGGAAATACAAGCCTAGAGAATACTTTTCAAGAGTTCTCAGTTCGCTTCTGTAGCTTGGAAATATCATTCTTAGAGGCACAGTTCGCGACAATTCAATGGGCGGGTATGTCAACGACGTACCCTCCCATTGAACTGTCAGACTGTCTGACGTGACAGCGAATGAGAGGCGGACACGTCATTGACATACCCGTCCATTGAATTATCGCAAACTGTGCCTTTAAAATCTTTTCGTACCTTCAAAACAACTCGGAGGAAATCGTACACTTCTGAATAAAGATTGCAGCACGCAAGGTTCGCATACTACTTATGGAATATTGAAAGCGACGCTGATAAGGAGCTCAAGGTGTATTACGTCATTTGTACTGGGAGGTGCTTTTTGCAGTGGGTGTTGATCTGTATTGGGACGGGATCGCAGGTGATTGGTGACTATTATAGAACTGGTTATGAGAGATAAGAGCGGATAAGGGATTTCATGAGACAAGAGAAATTCATGCTTTCCAACATACAGGGATCTTGACATCTTAAAGAGTGTTGTAGTGTTCGACTGGTTCGCTGGTAACATAAATCAATTGTTACCAATAAGGATTGATAAGAAGACTTACATCAGAAGACAAAAACCATGGAATCTGTCACACTCTAGTCTTGACAGTAAAACATTCACCCTTCGTTGTGGTGGCGGCAAACAATAGGGACCGAAAGAGTTTAAAATAAGAACAAGAGTCATCAAAGCCCTTTTGCCGGGATCGTGGATGATCGTGACAGAGAACGATAACAAGTGATGGGCCGATATAGCGTCAGAGTAAAGTTACGCAGGAGTAAGGGACTTCAATCGTATTTCTTCTATACAAGACAACTGATAACTGACATAACTACCGGGAAGCAACGAAGGAGGAAAAGAGGGTCGTGGCGCCTGGATGAGCCGCTCATCATGTTAATGCCAGCGATAAACCCAAAATGCGTGATGGTGTACGATATATTTATGAGGGCAAGTTGATCTCGTTGAAACCCACCATCGGCAGACCGAGAAAATCTTTTTACATCAATGGCGAAAATGGTCATTTTATTGTAGAAAGAGGATAGTAAAACGATGGCAGAACTGCTTCGAAATATTTCAACAGCAAAATTAGCCCATTCTGCTCTACCTTCAGCTTCAGTGCAAAACCTTGTACAGAAGATAACAGTGGAAGAAACGGAAATAGCCTGGAGGAGATGACGTCTGGCAATGCAGAGCCCTGATGATTCGGCAGCTAAAGTGTGAAACTCACAATGCTAGATCCCGGCAACATGGTTGACGAGCTTCTTCAATCAGGTCGTCGCAGAAAAGAAAGTGTCTGAGAGTTGGCATCAGAGTACTCCGATCTAATACAGAAAGGGTAGCCTACAAACTTCACCAGCTATCGTCCTATTCACGACCCTCGCGCAGTATGAAGATCTTTGAACGAATTGTAGATGGTCCTATTCGGGAATTCGTTCAGCTCTCCACCAGCCAATGTGTCTCGCCACAGGCTGCAGCACCGCCAATGCAAAAAATGCCGCTCGTTCCTTGCTCGAAGAAAAAGTGAGAAACCAAAAGCAGGCCTCTCACTTTTCCAGACATAGAAAATCCTTTCAATTGCTTTCTGTGTGAAGTTATGGTGTTCCTTGCAGAACGGGACCCTGTAAAGTTTATTGAGTAGGTGGGCATACTCTACTGATATTCCGCGAGTAGGTAGGNACATTAGCAGCGAGAACCTCATCAGAATTTCCCATCTTCGTCGGGGTACATGAAGGCTGTACGCCCTGCGCTTTCCCCACTGCTATTCGTTGTTGTCATGGATGACATCACACGAGATCTTCGGGAACGCCATGAACTCTTATTCAC